TCAAGTTAATATTGTAGAGTCTCAACACTGCTTGAAATATGGATCTTTAAAATACTTGCTTTTACTGATTCTTACACTATAAATGAGGCAGACTTTTTATGATACAGCACTACAGAAATTATAAATATCTCACTGTAGGCATCATACAGTTACTTGTGAATTTTGCAGGTTAAATATACTGTGAGCATATTAAGCAGCAAAGAAACACTATTTTTTTTTGTTAAATATATTGGGACTGTTAATTTTCTAATCTTGTGCTAGTGTCATGATGTACTTTTTGCTGAAGTCTAGAACTATTCATTTAATCATAAATCTCATCCACACGTGAATGGATGTAGAAAATGATTGTGCCATTACATTACTTTTAGTAAGTGCTTGAAATGAAAAAAAAAAGCCTTAAAATAAGTCTGATTAATATTTATAAGTAACTTGAGACCCCCCCTACTAGCTGCAGACTTGAACTCCATTAACACTTGGTTCATTGAGGCCTGGCATTTGTGTATATTGAGGTTGCTGACTTAGATTTCCAAGGTCTTTGTTATGGAATATTTGGAGCTCTTACTTGTTACTTAGAATTATGCACGTGTTGAGCTAACTGAACCCTCCAATTCCTATTAATTACAATTTTCTGGCCTTTCAAGTGCCAAGACTAGTATATTGCTATAGGTGTCATCACCCTGCACTTTCACCTCACAAGTTAGACCTCCCAAAAAGGTTTGAAAGACAACAACATTCCTCCAAAAGGACTTCATTCTTTTAAATATTTCTTGTTTTCTGAAGCAAACTACCCTTTAACTACCCTCAAAGTTCAATGTTTTGAATTCCACCTCCGGGCCAAGTTTGGAAGTGGCTGATTTTTATAAGGAATGAATCGACACCCTAGTTAAAAAACTCCTCATATCTGAGGATTTTATAACAAAAATGTTATGCCTTCTGTAAATAGCTTGGGTAAAATGTAATGGGCAGGAAGAGCAATAAATAAATTGGGCGGTTTTTGCCAGTTTTATAGGATCAGCTATGCTGAAGTGTTCTTACAGTTGAATTAGTAACTCTTTTCTCTGTGTTTCTGTGTGTATATACACACACGTATATAAATACATTCTGTAAATGGCAACTGATTTATATAGGTAGACCAGAATTAATAGCCTAATCTGTCCATTCCCAGATAATATTTCACAAATATGACAGTCCAATGATTCATGGTGCTTTGCAATTCATGAAATTGTGGATTGCTTTTGGGTCTTAATCAACAGTGATTTCTGTCATTGTCAGATGCGATGGAAGGGGTAATGCAAGAGCAGGATCAGCGAGACGCTGGGATGCTTTGTTCTTTGCAGCTTGCCAGGGCACTGTCATTTATCTCCACTCAAAACAAACTTGGTTGGTTTCTGTAGTGACGTTTTTGGAAAGGTTAGTGGATTATCAATAGTTACTTTAGATGTACATGCCAAAGGGAAAGAAACACAGAGGAAACAGAAATAAAAACCAGGTTTAAATTCCGTTGTGAATTTTGTTATGAATTGTAAAAGGGCACAGCAGTCAAATCAAGTTGATGTTTGACAATCCTGGGAGATGTGAATTTTCCTGTGGGAAGTAATGAGAGCTGATTGTCAGAGCTTCGGCTACTAATGCAAAACCCAGAAATACTCTGCTCTCTCTGGACTTGGCTTCTTTTCTATTGCCTCTGTGAGTTTTATTCATAGACCTTGGGGAGGACTTGAAAGGGAAATGAGGGGAACAGTCCACTGAGGTTTAGCAGAACAAAAGAAATCCAAAAAGATAGGGAATGCAATAATGAACTCCAATTATCTATGTAGTGATAGTGTGCAATATCTGTACTGTTACAATTAATAATTTATTGTCCCAATGTCCTGGATTAGAAGACTTGTAAAGATTCATTAGGATTGACTTTCTTCTTTGGGCATGCTCTTAGGTATTTTGAAGATTGAACACTGTAATTTGGGAGAAGATACACTGCCTTTTTCAGATGTGGAGGTTCAATTCATTCTTCAAGCACAGAAATAAACGCAGAATTAACTAGGAACTGAATAATCTCTCTTACGAATTTGTGAAATGCCTTTACTAAAATGCCTCGATACTTGTCCTTCCTACTTCATTTTTTCCTTCATGTTCTATGAGAAGCAATTTCTCCATCAGTGTCCTGTGTTCCAACTCACACGTCCAAATTATCCGTCGGCTGCAGCTTTTCTAGTGCCCTGCAAAATGCTCTTGCACAGCAGGTCATTGATCTTCTAGTCTAGCTTGAAGGTAGCTGAAATGTCAATATAGGTTCTAGCTGGTTATTTTCTGATCTTTACTCCAATGATGTATGGATTTCAACTTTGAGTATGTATTCCCCAATTCTTGGGTAAGGATTAGGGATCTGTAGCATGGGAATTTTTCCCTTAAATTGAAGCCATATCCTAAACTGGGAAACACACCACCCAACTAATACTGTATTTTCTGGCCCTCTGTATTGCCTGCTGTATTTTCTAGAAACAGGGAAGGTTATGTCGTTAAAAATAATGATAGAATTACTCAGCTAAGTGTATCCCCAAGAGCAAAAAAGGCATGTATGCACATGCAATGCTTCAGCAAGAGCAACACTAAACATTTGAAAATGAATTATATCATGCAATATAAAAAACAATCTTGGCAGGAGCAATTGCAGTTTCTTGCACCCCTCTGTCTATGTTGGCAGCAACAACCACTGCTAAGTGATAATGTCCTTCACCTCGGCCAAATCTCGGTGAAATGTGGATTCTAAGACTAAGAATATGCAACAGAGGGAAAGAGCAGATCTGCTTCCTTACCTTTAAGTAAATGAACTGTTTTCATGGCAGTGAGGATGTGGCAGAGCCAGAACCAGAAACCAGGAATGCTCTGTTTCGGGCACATGATGATGCCATTTATTTTTCTGCTGCTGCCCAGGAGGCAAGTGGTGGCAGCAGCAGAAGCCAGAGGAGACTGGAAGAAGAAAGGCCGGGTGATCGGGGCAGGAGGGAGCAGAGGGAGGTGTCCGGGGCACCACGAGAGAGGAGGTGACCTGGGAAGGGTTTGCAGTTACTGCATCCCAGGCCTCTGGGGGAAAACAGAAAGTGAAGACACAGAAAGGCAGGAGAAGGGCTGTATCTGAAAGGTACTGCTAATTATGATAAAAATTTAAAAACAGAAGCTTAATAGGAGAAGGGGCATACTGCAAGTATCCAGGCATTGGGTCAGTTATTTGCTATAGAAAAGCAGATTATGTATGAAAGACAATAGACTTTCTTAATACATACTGTATCATCTACAACTATTTTTCCTCACTTGCTGCATGTGCTGTGTGGGTAAAGCTAGCCCTAGCCACGCTTTCTATTTCCAATATGACATGACTGTAGCCTGCAGGAATAATGATTTGGGGGATTTTACATCCAGTGTGGGTGATTGTCATTACTTTGCAATAAATAAAGGTTTTACTGGGAAGAAAAACAGAAAGTTTTGATGAATAATGTATGTTCCTTCTAAAGTGCTTACAGATGAGAAGGTGGTTTAAAACTGCATCTCTGAATCAGTTCACTTATTGGTGAAATGCAGCCAACTACCAGAGGAAATGTGGCTAATGACTAGGGGTGGCCGACTGCTGGACCTGGGTGCTGCTGCTCATGCTGAGTTTTTATGCTTGCCATTTAATCTTTGTTATTTGGATGGTCTGTCTTTTAACATTCAAAAAGGTCTTCTTGGGCTGGAAGGCTGGAGTAAAAATGTGTTATGGAAGGGTCATGTGGATGTAAAGGACATGCAGATCCCTGCATTCTGAGGTTGTTCATGAGGTTATCTGGGTCAACCAAAAAAAAAAATAAAACAAGAAACAATAATGCTTATAAATGAAATCCCCAAATACCCAGACCCCAGGAAACAAGTGATACCAGAGACGACAGCACAGAGCAGACCTGTCAGGAGAGGTTCAGCCAGAAAATTGCAACTTATACAAAAAGGGGAAATAAGGTTATCATTGGTCTCACAGGAGAGAACTTACAGCATGCTTTAAAGGGATTGTGGGAACATGTGACATTTATTTTGCGACGTTTAAGGGAAGGGCCAAAGTGAATCAGGGAGGAACAAGCGTAGGGCAATGGGGATGGGAGGGCATAGAAGGCTCTGGTGGTGTGTCGGAGGCTTGTCTGACTGAGCCCTGTGTCTGGTTGCTACAGCCTGTCCCATCTCTTCACTAGTCTCAGTTCCTAGCTGGTTTTGATGTGATCTTGCTTTCTGGTCAGTGTTAGGAGTGTGGGGGCATTTGATTTGTTAGGAGAATTCTGGAAAGGCCCAAGGTCCCAGCCGATGCCTGGATATGGGGTGAACGGGCTCTGGGCACCGTATTGCAGAGGCGTAGCCCGTGGCAGCGTCTGAGGGGGCTGTACATGCTGGTGTGTTGGTGAATCACACGAGTGATCACGTGTTAAATTTCAGTCCTCAGCAGCGGGGCAGGAGGAGGAGGACCTATTTGTGTTTGTGGGTGCCACGTGGGTACTGCTACTGACACGGCTCGCTGTGAGGGTCCCTGTGTGCATCCTCACCCCACAGCAGCTTATGCCAGCTGCACCTGGAGGGGGGAGCAGCACCAGCGGCACAGGAGGAGCCTCCTGGGCCTGAGGATGCACCAGACGCAGGTCTCGTGGATGGGGGGGAGGAATCCCCTGGGACAGGAACCCTCCAGTTCCTCTCTCTGTAAGAAGGGGTACTAGTTAGAGCACGCAGAAGAAAGTTTTACCCAAATCACAGATGCTACTTTCTAGAGCAGCCAGCCTCCCACGTAATTTATGAAATCTGAGGACATCTGAAACTAGGGTGCTGTGAGTTGAAATCTGCTGTATTTGCACATCCTTAGTAGATAAGACTAAAGTGCTCCACAAATGAAGCATTAAATGGTGGTGTATTTTTAAACTTGCAAAGATTTTCGAATACTGTGGGTAGTAACTTTTTGCATTCTAACTGGTCTGACTCCCTGCTCTCCCCAGGGGAAATGGAAGAGCTAGAAACCCTGTGGCTGACTGGTATTTGCCACAACGAGAAGAATGAAGTCATGAGCAGCCAGCTGGACATTGACAACATGGCAGGAGTGTTTTACATGCTTGCAGCAGCCATGGCACTCAGTTTAATAACCTTTGTCTGGGAGCACTTATTTTACTGGAAACTTAGATTCTGCTTCACTGGAGTCTGCTCAGATAGGCCAGGATTGTTGTTCTCAATCAGCAGGGTGAGTAGTGCTTTCATTTCCCCCCTTCAGGCAACAGAGAGAATAAACTCTACCTCCCTAAAACATTCTTCTTCCTTTTATTACCACTTGGACATTTGAAATATGTTTTAGAGCATCAGCGTGATGCTCCAGAGTAGTCAATGGGCTTAGGATGTACTTGCACTCCACGGGAAGTCTTTTCCTCATTGGATTATTCTAAGGTAGGAATTATCATATGCCAGGATAATTGGTAATCAAATACTGAAAACTAATACATTTAGGGGAAATTTTGATGAAGAAATGGTGGAGCTGCTCAGATACAGAAAACGGATTAATTTCCACAAAAAAATCCAAACAAAATAAATGCTAAATTAATGAGAGACATTAGTTCTCAGTTTTGTGTTTTTCTTAAACAAGTGGATTTTAAGCAATAAATATATACTGCAATATTTTAATAAGCTTTTCTTGATGGCAAACTGGAATAAAGCATGAGAAGGGGCCAAACACAAGTGTCATTTATGTTTGGTTGGACACTAAGACAGGTTTTAATGATGACTTTACCAAATCCAAAGTGGATTTACATATCCAAATAAGTGATACTTTTCATAAAATAAGGGAAGTATGTGCTTTTCTTAGATTTTTGACAAATTAGTTGGGTTTTTGTCTTTTTTTTTAAACACAGTACTTCCATTAGGTAATTGATTTTGCTGGATTTTTTTATAAAGCTGAAGAGAATTGAAAATGATACTAAAATGCCTAATTGCTTTAAAATGTGCTGAAATTACCCTGTTGAGTAAATTGGACTGTATTGGATCTGCATTACAAATACCCTGCCCTACCCTGTTGGGGATTGTCTAGAAAAGCAGATATGCTTTAATCTGCACATTTTACATTTGAACTTTATACTTTTGGCGTTTTACGTTTGAAATTCTCCTAACCGATCCAGGGGAAAAAAAGTACTTATTTCAAAGGCAAATTTCTAAGAATTACAAGTTCACGGGGTCGGAAACGTCAATTGAGCTCACAGGAGCGACAGACGAGGTTGGAGTTAAAAGACAGACTTCAGCTTTTCACTCAAAATGAACTCAAATTCAGACTTTAGAAAGGGATGGGATTTTTTCATAGGTCCTAGGATAGAAAACAGAAAAGCTAAAATACCATGACTAGAAGCCTTTTTATTTCAGTGCAAGTGAAGAGTACCTTGACCTCCAAGAAGGTTTAGGGGCGTGACTTAATCACTGGTTTAAAAGAATAGTTTCCCTTACTGAAGGTTAGTTACATTTTGTGATGGGAGTAGGGAACTTTTTCAAGTACCTTCTAGTCTTGTTTTCTAGAGCAAGCAGGGGATGCCAACACAGACCATTGGTTTGTAGAACACTGGCAATTTTTCTCCTTTACTGCTGGAAAATATGGCAGAAATTATTCTCCTGTATCAACATAAGGAAATGTTAATAGAGTAGATACGTACTTTTAATCTTTCCAGTAATTAGACAAGTGATGTATAATTGTTCTTCATCGTTAAAAAAAAAAAAAAAGGAAGTATTTAAAATTGACATCTAGTGATTTAATTTGTTTTATATTATTCATTACAGGGTATTTACAGCTGCATTCATGGAGTACACATTGAAGAAAAAAAGAAGTCTCCTGACTTTACTTTGACCAATTCCCAAACCAACATGTTAAAACTACTGCGAACAGCAAAAAATATGACCAATATCAATCCTTCAAGAATTAACTCCCCCAAAAGAACAGCTGATTTTATTCAGAGGGGTTCCTTGATTATGGATATGGTCATGGATAAGGGAAACTTGATATTTTCTGATAACAGATCCTTTCAGACTAAGGATAACTTCTTTGGTGACAACATGAGTGAACTGCAGACACTTCCTGGCAATCGACACAAGGACAATCTCAACAACTATGTTTTCCAAGGTCAGCACCCTCTCACACTGAATGAGTCCAACCCAAACACAGTAGAGGTTGCAGTAACAGCAGAAGCAAAAGCGAACTCCAGACCCAGGCAGCTTTGGAGGAAATCTGTTGAATCTTTGCGTCAAGATTCTGTACGTCAGGGCCAAGGTTCCCAGAGAGAGAACGGGTCTGACGAAAACAGGCAGCTTTCAGTGAAAAGCCAAAGATACCTTCCTGAAGAGATTGCCCATTCAGATGTATCGGAGGCATCAAGCCGAGCTACTTGTCATATGGAAGCTGAAAACAACAACAAGCATCACAAAACCAAGGACAATTTTAAAAAAAGGACAGTAGCGTCAAAATACCCAAAAGACTGTAGTGAAGTGGAACTGACATATCTGAAAACCAAACCGAGCTCTCCACGGGATAAAATCTACACGATTGATGCTGACAAGGAGCCAGGATTCCGCTTGGACACACCTCAGTACATCGAAAACATTGTCCTTCCAGATACTATAGAGTTTCCTGATGTTTATCAAGATCACAATGACAACTACAGGAAAGCAGAACACGCAAACAGGACTCCCTTGCATAACGAAGACAGTCTTCCAAATAATGACCAGTACAAACTTTATGCAAAGCACTACACTTTAAAAGATAAAAATTCTTCCCTAGTTGACATGAACGATAGGTACCGACAGAACTCCACCCACTGCAGGAGCTGTCTCTCCAATTTGCCCACTTACGCGGGACACTATTCAGGCAGATCTCCCTATAAATGCGACGCGTGCTTGCGGATGGGGAACCTCTATGATATTGAAGAAGATCAGATGCTGCAGGATACAACGAACTTATCACTTCCTGAAGAAGTCTACGATCATAGTTGGTCACAAAACAATGCTCTGCAATATCATAAAAAAAACAAGTTGAGGATTAGCAGGCAACATTCTTTTGATAATATCGCTGATAAGTCCAGGGAAATGGATATTGGAAGACCTTCTCGTAGTATAAGCTTGAAAGAAAGAGAGAAATTTCTACAAAGTAGTCCATATGCAAGCATGTTTAGTGTTCCCTCAAGCAAACTGTTGGGCAACAAGGCCTCACTTTTAACTCATGCTCTGGAGGACAGTAAGCGGAGCAAGTCCCTGTATCCCGTTCACTCGGACGATAACCCCTTCCTGCACTCCTACCGCGACGACCAGCACTTATCTCTTAGGCGGAGTCCGGCTGATCTTTATAAACATTCCTTACCAACAAGAGGAAGAAATGATAATTATTTAAGGTCATCCATACAGTCTACAGCATCATACAGTTCCAGGGATGGTCGGATCCATAATGACATGTACATTTCACAGCATGTTTTGCCTTACGTTGCAAATAGGAATAGCTTGTACTCAACTCCAAGGGTTTTAAATTCCTGTAGCAATAGACGTGTGTATAAGAAAATGCCTAGCATTGAATCAGATGTTTAAATTTTCCATGAACACTTTATCTATAGGGAAAAAATAGTTGCCACCATCTTAGAGGGAGAATTTATCCTTTAACAGTATCCTGCTATGGTAAATGATATGTAAACCTCTCCCTTTCCCAGTGTACTTCTGTACATGAATAGGTAAACTAGTATGCTCTTAACCATCCTTTTAAAATATGTCTTGTTGAAAAGGATAAAAAATAGCCATTTATGTATGCTTTATATATAAATGGCAAGCTGTACGGAAATAGCCCCAATATATGTTGGCAACTATGCTGTTTTGTATCTAATCATTTTATTATTTCGGTTATTCTAATTTATGTTGCTAAGTATCATTCAATGTACTTTTGTCCTTAGAAATGTTTAATGATTTCCTAGTACTGGATAAGCAATATGGTATGCATGTAGTGTGACACAGACAAAAAGAATTAGGAATGCATTTGCACAGTTTCAAAAGTAAGACTCTAAAAGAGAACAGAAAGCTAGACTTTCAAAAATATATTTTAGCTTCATAAGCATTTTCAAAGCCAAATAATAATATAAAAAAAACCCCAACCCCTGGGACCTTAATAAATAAAATACAGCGTGTTAGCACAAAATTAGTATGTTTGTTCTAGACTGACAGAACATAAAGGGAAAGGCTGTAGGCCCAAACATGTGAACTGCTGTGTACCAAAAGGAAGCCCCATGGATATTGGTTAATGTTAATGTACAAATGTTTTTCTTATATTTCACACGGACTTACCATTACAAACTAAGTTCATTGAAAAGTCTGCAGTCATCTTGTAAGAAACTTCACAGCTGCCTAATCCAGAGTATATATTTTTAGATATCACTATATGACACTTACCGTGGAGCTGTGGACTTTATTAGTAACCTTGAGGCCTAATGTGTACGTAAGTTTGCATTTGCCCCTTACTGGTGATTACTCAGGGCTGTATAGTATTTCTTTTATTCCTTCACTTCCCAAACCAAATCCCAACCCGCTGTAATTCTTTGTTCATAGTGTATTAGTGACATCTAATCAATTGTACGTTACTAGTATTAAAGCCGTTAATGCAGTATCAAACACCGACAGCCATAGATTCAGTGTATCAGTGAGGAGTGCAATGCCATTTATCTCGATACACAGTGAAGGATTAACACCTTGGGAGGGACTTCTTCCTTCCAGAACATCGTGCATATTTGTTGAATATCACACCACCTTAAAAAATTTCTCCCATCAAGTCTGTTATTTAAATTGAATATATGCACACAGAGCTAAGAAACAGTATCTGTATTATCACTTACTGGTATACAAAGATATTCACATAAGAGGGATGTGTTGTTACATGAGTTTACCTCTAGTAAAGATCAATCAGATTATTTCACAAATAAAACATCTGCTACACGCCTCTCCTTGCCCCCACTGGGAAAAAAAGAAACCACTAGATTTTAATGGTAGGGGAGTGTGGAAGGGAAGAGAGGAAGCTTTCCATGAGTAGAATGTAGAGCTGTACATTTAATTTAAACTAAAGAAGTAAATTAAATTGCTAATATACTTAAATACAGAAAACATTCGACAGGTGCTGCTCTCCCATTCTCCTGCTGCTCTGAGAATGGCCTTAGGTTTTTTGTGTAGAGGAAGTTTAGATTATTCAAGCATTATTCCTTACGTTTCACTGAAGAACAGTGAGCAGGGAAACCATTACACTGTGAATTGGAAAATGTGAATATTACCCTAACTTTTCTCTGAATTGAAAGTCTTTTCAACAGAATCATGCCTGTCAGCTGTAATTGTAGTATCTGCATGCCAGAGGTACAGTATGCAAACTGTTTAATTTGAAATAGCATACTGCAAAGCAGAGCTGGAAATAGGAGATAATATAAATGATGTATAGGGATAGACAAAATATAGCTTCTTCAATTCTGATTGCAATTTTTTTATTAAACAGATTTAAGCTGACATTAACTACCAAATAGTCCAGAATGAGTTTTTGGTATTTACAAATGTATTTGTATATTCACCATAATGGTGAAGGATGATATTTTTTGAAGGAAGGGGATGTAATGAGGTTTGGGCTTCCAGGTCCCTGTCCAGCTTCCAAAAACCGCATTATACTTTATGATAAGTGTGTTCAGAAAGCATATCTATGGGTATCTGTATGCTGTCCAGAGCAAATATGTGTCGAGTTTTCTTTATTCAACATTTGGTCACAGTTTTTGGCCCTGATTCACCTGGTATGCTTTCTGGTTCCTCACTGGATGTAGCTGTATGAACAGAAGATCCTCACCTGCCCTCAGAGAGGTTCACGTTTCTTAGGAGGAGCTGTATGAGCGAAGCAGGGCTGGGGTGTTTGTGAGATGAACGTTACTTTTCATCAACCAAAACCTTTTCCCAAAGACATAGGTATACTATTTCTCTTAGGTCTACAGGAAGGCAAATGCACTAAAGGCATAAACATTGTTGTAATGAGTTTAATAGAAATAGTTCAGGCAAATTTTAATTTTTAGTCCAAATTGTAGTATACCAAGTGAAATCTGAAGTATTTGGAACTACCTGGTGTGTTTCAGCAGATGTGGCATCTGCTGGTATCATACCGAAACCTGCCATGCAAGTCACTGGGAATTTTACCAAGTGAATCATAAAACTCAGTGGTGGCTCTCATCTTTCACATGATCTTAAAGCTCTCAAAATATTTGCTGATCACTCCAAGTCTTTTGCATCATCATCTCTCTCTAACTCGACACACATAGCTCAGTATATAGGCAAGTACTGTCTGTGAAGTTCTGGGAAAGAAAAATTCCCGTTTACAACATTTTCTAACTGTTGAGATCCAAATGTAAACATCCTAAACCCAGGTGGATTTATCCTTCTGTGAAATGAAAAAGCAAATTAGCTGTAAAGAAATACATTGCAGTGTTTGCTTTTTCTGATTTTGAGCAGATTTCTGCTGACTGTAGAGATTTATTATTATTAGCTGCAAATATGCAATACAACCACCTCCCCTAAACCAAAACAAATTTAAGAGACAGAGGGAAGACTTGATAATGTTGCACAGCAGTTGTTCACATGGAATTAAAAAATGCTACCTTAAAGAAGGAAAGAAAAAATCAACAAACCCAGATACTGAAAGTAGAGGGAAAAAGAATCTGCATGCATTTGTTGCTTTGACCTTGGCATATAATATGAGTGAATAAAGGGGGAAGAAAAGGCTAAAGAGTAGGATTGTAGGCGAGTAGCTGGTGTGGTTGCAGATGTATAACGTGTAAAGAAGAAGAAGCTGGGAAGTTGAAGGAAAGTCTTCAACACTAGAGCCACAAGCCACAGCTTGTGAGGCTCAGCCGTAGAGCGCGTGGAATTCTGAATATTGCCTGAGCTTTGTTGATATATTTGCACTGACTTTCAGTAAACCGAGATCAAGACTTTCTGTATTTCCCTCTCTCTCACTCTAGCTGCTGCTATTCTTGAAGAGGAGAAAAGAATCTTCCTGCATAAGTGGCCATCCTTTCTGTACCTTTCTGGATGGTGCTGGTGACTTGTTACATTTTCCTGATTACAGCTCTAGCAGTTTGTTGGTCTTTCCTATCACCAAGATTTCCCGTGACTCCAGCTGGAACTGAATCAGGCTGTAAATGATATGGGCCATTCTTGGTAGCATGTCCTGTAGTGTTACACTGCTCCTGGACGACAACTTTTATGGAGGCAGGATATTGAATTGCTGAGGAATGCAGTAGGTACACGGAGGTAAAAACAGCTACGTAGACATACCTGCCTCTCGCTTTTTTCCTCTTTTAAAGACATTGTAGAATTTCTTCATGTTTTTGTCTTTCCCTTTTCACCACAGTAAATTTTCCTTTTTCCTTTCAAATGGATTTTGTGTTCTGCTTGTGTTCCTTAGAGCAGTGTAGCCACCCACTAACTTAAACGCATGGAAATAAGATATTTTAATATATAAGATAAAATTAAGGAGAATTAAGAGTTTTTGTATTTCTAGAAAATTTCATTTAATGTTTTTTCAGCTTTTGCTCAGAATTCGTTATTCTGCTATGTAAGAAGCTTGGTGAGGAGAAAGAGTGCTGTGGACAAACAGAACCCAAATCACCGCCAGCTCACTGTGTTTTAGCAGCATCTCATAAATACATGTCTCCTGCTCTACGATCTTTGAGAACCACTTAGGAGGTGAAGTAAGGCTCACAAAGGAAATTGGAAGTGGTGGGGCTTTTCCTGGTGAAAATTAATCCTTTTACAGAGTTTTAAAGAAAGAAAAGCTATAGCTGTGTGTCTAGCATTGGGTGTCTGTGCTGGAAGGCTCAGCTCTCTCTGTTGCCAGTGGGGAGAGAGAGAAAGCTCCCTCTGGACGGTGGTTCAGAGCACAAGGCTGGGAGCAGGTCTGGGTGCGGTGTGTCCTGGAGATTTTACCTCTCTCTGTTGATTTTTGTAGAAAGTATAGGCTCCTAACGAAGACATCTGAGATAGGGGGGCTTAGAAAAGTAATGGTCTACTTATTCCCAGCCTCAAAAATTTGCTAGTTAAATCTGCAAGTGAGTTCCAAGTTAAATCTTGAAGGTGCATGGAGGTTCCTGTGCTTATGCAAGTTGTTACTGAGGTGGCACCTGGCATTTGTGGGTTTTGCAGTTCTCCCAGCCTAGTCCCCATCATTGTTTTCTTTAGACCACGTGGCTGTCCAGTGTGAAATAAAAGTGTCAGAATCTATTCCTTGTAGAATAACTTGCTATTTTCACATTTCTGCAGTGTAGCATATGCATCTTGGTGAAGGGGAAGATTTTGGTACTACTTCTTCCCTTGCTTTGTTAATCAATGGAGAACAGGAATTGTGGTACCAATTTAAGCGTATAAGAGTCAGCTTGGATTTAGGAAGAATTCAAGAGGTGAATCTTTTTGTTGTTTTACATTGCATTTAAGATGTTTGATATATAAAACCTAGTGAAAACAGATCTTTTATGGCAAAATCCTCTTTTGGTTAATACAGAACAGTAACTATCCTGTGGCTTGACTAGATCATGTTGTGTTAATCATCACATCGTGTGCTTCTTTCAAGATGGAGTGTCATACATTCCCTTGCTAAACCTTACCTTTCCCAACTCCAGTCCTGGTTTAGCTCAAAAGTCTTTTTAAAGTAGGTATCTTTCCTGTGTAGAGCAATCTGGTTTGCAATGTAAAAACATTTTTCAGTATACACTTAAAATTGTTTGCTTTACCAATGCTATTCTTTTAATCTAAACTTCCTTCCTATTGAGAGCTGAGCCTTCGAAGTACAACAGTGCTGAAGGAACTTCTGAAAAAGCAAAGAGGCCTTTCGAAGTACAACTTTTATGATAGGAGCCATTTCCCCACCCAAACTCACCTGTACTGTCGTATTTAAATGTATTAGCAATATGTTAGTATTTACTGTCAGTAGGAGGGAGCACAGTTTGGTCACAGCTGTGTATTTATTTGTGGGTGTAAATGCAAGTACAGCCAGGTATGTGATGTTAAGGACAGGCTCAGCCTGCTGTGGCTGGAGTCCCCTGTGCAGTCCCCTGTGCAGCTGCAGTTGGATGGGGGTAGTAGCCTCAAGACTGTCATGTCCCTTCCATCGCTCTGGTCATGCAGACTCTCCTGTCTGATGTGCACATATTGTACATAGCGTAAAATTCTTGTTGATGCTCAGCTTTCATTGTGGAATTAGTCCCATGTTCACCTTCATTACACTGTCACAGCGATGTTGGTGGGATGGAGAGGGGGTTGTCTGTGCTGTCTGGTGTCTGTTGCCCTGTTAAATGGGAGCAGAAACCCTGCCCTGCTTCTTTCTGCGCTGCTGGGAAGGGTTACTGCACCCCTTGTAAATAAGCTCCTCATTTATTTCACCCCAGTCAGGCCTTTAATTTTATTTTTTTTTTGCCCTGCTTCTTTCAACCTGTGTACAGAGTATGCTCTCTACAAACCTGTGCTCTTCCAATGTCCTGCAGCTTTGGAAGTCAGGAGTAGGAGTGTGCATCGCCCTGCAATGCAGTGAAAATGCACTTAGTTCTTGCAGGTTCATGAGCTTTTTTTGTTACATACTGCAGAATATATCTGCTGTGGGTGAAACTGTTTGGGGTTTTGTTTGGGTTTTTTTTTTTTAATGAATGCCAGTCTAACAGCTGTAAGAATCCACTGCTGATTATGTGATGATTTTGTCATATCTATAATTTAAGAACCAGAAATAATATAAGTAAAATTAAGTTACCTCACTATTTACCAGGTTTTTGTTGTTTTGCACTTAAATGACACTTTTTACTCCTTTTGCTTAATTCTTTACCTGTATTGAAAACGATGCTAAATTAGTAGAGAATATAACCATGCTGTAACATTGTCATGCAATACCTTTATTAGTAGATAACCACACTAAGTATAGTATTACATATTTAAAAGAGAGATGGTTTTGACTCTCCAACTCTTAAAAAGTAGTGGTGATAAGCAGTTATACTCCTAGATGTTTTGTCCTTTCCCTTTTGTATTAGTATTTGTTTTCACTAATATATTTCAAAAATTATATTTCTATGTGCACGTTAGAAAACTGTGAAAATAAATACCAATAAATATTGTGATACTTATTCAGTGCACTCTAAGTTCCAAGTGAGATGATACTTTGCTTGGGAATTGATGGAAGTTTCCTCACTTCTCATAAATGGTACTGAGCTTTAATGTGGGCAAATGGTAATATTTACAGTGACATTAAATTTTAATGGAGAATGTCTTGTTTTGCACTTGTAATACTATTAGAAGAAATGATATGTTTTTCTCAGCAAATGCATTATGAGACTACATTTTTTTAATTTGTTTTGTGCTTTGCAGTACGTAAGAATAGCTGTTTTGAAGAGATTTGTGTTATATCATTACTACAGGATTCTTTAGTCTTACAATTTTTTATTGAACCCGTTTAATAATGGTGTTTAATGGCAAAAACCTTTTGGAAATATATTTTGGCTTCTGTTTCACATGCAAACCCTGTGTTTGGACTCACAGTGATGCAGTTGAAGCCCTCATGAGGTTGCTGTGCCTTCCCGTGCTACTGGGGAAGGAGGCCTTCCTTGCTCGTTGTTAGAGGAGTTGAGAAAAATTTTGCAGGATGTCTTGTGCAACATTTGAAGTGTAAATGATCTTCAAAAGTGAAAAAAAAAAAATAAATTGGAGGTTCACAGTTATCCACACTAGCGGGTGGTCTGTGACAGGCTGCAGGGTGTGTGGTTTCTGGAGGAAATGATAATTTTTAACTAAAGTGATTTGAATTCTACTTAAGTTTCTGAAAGTCACTGAAAAAAACGGGAGTTTTCTTTTTTTTTTTTTTTAAAAGCCAAAGTCTTTCTGTTGTCATACGAGGTTTCACAGGAAAATGGGCCAAAGAATACAATTAAATATGCAAAAGGTTAATCCTATGGAAAAGGGTATCCTATCATCGTGATATGCACAAGCATGTCAATGGTAATAGGAACAATGTGTGTAATTTTCCTGTATATTGCTATGTAGGTTGCACTATTTTGAATGACGCAAGCTTGATATTTTAATTACCAAATACCATAAGAAGCTTTTATTAATAGTTTCAACTTTTTAACCTAAATATATATACAGTATAGACACACGTGCGTGCATACACTTCCTAACTTAGTCATGGTGAGTAATCTCCCACGGCCGTGGGACACATTCCAGCAGTGCTTTATTTTAAGTGATTCTCCTCCCTCCTTCCCAAACCTCCCAGATCCACTGAGCCTCTAGCAGCACTTATCGTAGCCTTGGTACCCATCAGAGAGGAGGCTGAAGGACTTGCTGGGATGGGGATTGCTTTGTGCTAGGACACGTGAAAACACATCCGAGGACAGTTCCTGTCCAAAAGAATTTGGAAATGGTACTCACTAGAAATAACAGAGCCATAGGAAAAGTGTCTTCTCATGCTGTTGTGAAAATTCATGGCCAGAGAGGGTCTGTTGGCCTGATTTTTAAATTCTGTGTCAGGTTACTCAATCTACACCTGGTCATTAAGCATGTTACTTAAGGTAGCTGAGGAAGGACACCTAAAAAACAAAAATTCCCAGGAAAGCTCAGCTGGTGTGTGCACCTGTGGCCGCTGGTGTATTCCTCATGCAGACTGAGCAGTCTTCAAAATCCTATTTAGCGGTGGTGGTGGAATCAGAATCACTTTTTCTCAGTGAACAGGCTTTTGAAGTTGCTATACCTGATGGTGTGGAGATTTTTTGACCAAGAGATAATTGTGGTATTGGGCTTCTTTTCTAAATTTACTAAATTAGTAGTTAGTGCTCTAACCAAAACTTCTGATGAAAAAAATACCTTGGAAAATATTTGTTTGAAGTAATTCCTGAGGTTTTTTGCAAAGGGAGGGTTAGATAGTTACTAATTTTTCCACCTTAACCTAGAAACAGGGTCAGATTTTGTCTATGGTTCATTGCAAGTGTGTCTTAGAGAGGAACCTGGTTCCAAGTCCTTTGTTTGCAAGAAGAAGATTTTTGGTTAACTCATTTTTACATGGCCTAGGTCTGTATTCCAAACTTAGGCCAAAAGCCTTTCGACTTAAATAGGGATGTGTGAGTGAGTGATGGGAGAGCAGATCCTTAGTGCAGTCCCTGCTAAGAATTTAAAAAAAAAACAACAAACAACAAAAACCAAAACCTCATGTTGCAAAGGTATGGAAGTTGCATCATGAAAAATTGTGTGCAGCTAGGAAGGAAACTAGTGCAATTTTTAGTAAGAAGAGTTTACAGTTTATACTTGATATCAGCTATAATATTTTGAAATAGTCTTACTCACTTCAGAATGTCCATTTTGCACTGATGAAGAACAGCTCGATCTCTCTGTCTTCACACCTCACACCCACATACACAGTGTAACTTGTGTCTTCCCTGCTGAAACCAGAAGGTACAAACAGAATTCATTAATGTGTTAGGCAAACTCCTACCTGATCCTTAACTAAGTATGCTATTTTTATACAAAATTTGCATCCGTGCATTTCAGGTTCTCTCAGAAGCACTTCACCTGTGAGTTAATAATGTTCATTTTAATTCATCAGATTCAAATTTACACTAAACCTGAAGGGCATTTTGTGCTTCCTTTCATTCTGTTTAATGATTTTTGCTGGCTTAGATGAAACACTTAATATTTCTGTGCTGCTAAACAAAAAACATCAGAAATATTTTAAAATCTCAAAATTACACTCTTAAAAACATTTTTACCTGCTTACTTGAATAATGTAAATTTAATGTGTTGTCCTGATTAGTCTTTGTATACATACACATATATATGTGAGCTATATATGTATAAGCTTTATATATATATGTGTACGTATAACATTTTGGGGGAGAATGAGGGAAAAGATAAAAATTCAGCATTGTGACAAAGATTCTACAAACATTTATTAACAGTTCCAAGTAATGTATTGCTGGTTTGAGTATGATTAGAAGTTATTTGCAGTTGAACTCTGAAAAATGAGATGAAACTGAAAATTAGTATTGGATAATCAGTCATCATCCTAAGACCGGTTTCATCTGCATCTTGAGAAAATAAAAATTCACAATATTAACTTGGAATTTTGCTCAGAAATAAAATTATAAGTTATTAGTGCAGTTAGTACAGTTGGAAAAGTATACTGGAAAAAAAAAACCTCCAAGTGTACTAATTTGTACTGGTTACACAGAGCACTAATCTACCTTGCTGCAGAAGAAATTTGCATTCCATAAATAACATCTTACCAGAAATCTTGGAACCATTTGAGTCCACACACAGTGAATTAAAAGGTCTATAATTTCTGTTATTTGCTAGTGCAATTTACTGTAAAACTCTCAAGAGTGTAATATTTCAAACCAAAGGGTAAGTCATAAATTTCCAAGTGTTAGCAAAGAATAGTAAAGGTTTGAAGACCTCTTAACACCTGGGGAAATAAGTCAGGATGTTAAAGTAGGAATAAAAGAGTATTGGTGAAACGGAATCGAGCATAAAATAATTTTTAAGAGAATCCAGAATTTCATTATAAAATTCATAGTCTAATGGATTCTTCAAAAGAAAGGGTTTGGGGAAAAAGAGAATAATTAAAAACTAGTCTTGACATTCCAATTACTGCCTGTTTTATCGGATAGGTTTAGCAAACTGAAATGAATTTTAACACAGGATTGTCTGTACACAGGGGGGTTTAACTGTTGTGTTACGGAGATACGTGTACCCCCATCTCTGCCCCCCGCCCCCAATTCGGGGGGTGGCTGGGTCTGCCCCACCCCCCCTCACACACTGCTCTCCCCCCTTACCCACACTGTCTCACAGCAGTTCACCCCCACCATATTTTAACCCAGTGCATGACTGAGTGCTAATACTGTATAAATATTTTGAAACATATCTAAAGAAAGAAATATGTTTGCTTCAAAATTTTTACAATAGAGAAATATATAATTATTATGGTTGTCTTACAAATTGTATTGTGTTCTTCATTTTTGTTAAATATGTAGAAAAACATTAAGGGAATGGGGGACTCGAATGTCTGTGTGTACCGAAATGTATATAACTATTTGGGGAAAACACACGTGCCAAGTATAACATGATGTAAAAATTGTAAATATACGAAAATTCATTTTTCTAATAAAGATAATTTCTGCCAATTGATATGAAAATGAACAATGGTATCATTCTTGTCTGTCTTCCCTGTTAAGCGGCACAAGATGAAGCGTCAGCTGTGAATGTGGCTTAACTTCGTTTCTTCGTTAGTGGTTGATGTGATTGGAAAGGTGTTAACAGCCACATGTTTTGAGCCATCCCTCGCTGTTAGAAATTATCTAAAGGTGAAGACGCCCGAAGCTAAAGCTGACAGTACATGCTTGGTGTTCCCACTTTAATTTAATTCACGAAAAAGACGGAGACAATTAACTTAAGAAAAATTCATTCAGTGTGAGAAGTCTACTTTGAATGGTGCTCCCTCAGCAGAGGAGCAGTAGGAGCCAAGTTAAGGATGGCCTGTCAACCTGCAGCACCATTCTCCTGTATTCTGAAATACACACAAACCCTGGTGGGCCTGCATGGAGAGACGGTCCCGGCTGTAGAAGTGCAGGAGCTCTTTGGGTGATTGTGAAGGCAGCATCCAGCCTGAGGAGGAGGAGGTGTCCTACCAAGAACAAAGCCATCCCTGAGAAGAGCTGGAGAGCTGGAGGTGTGGAGTGCTCCTGGCACGGCCCCACTCTTGGAGGCTGACCAGGTGAGGATGGGGGGCAGCAAACCAGGGGGTGAGAAAATGGCAGACAAGTGACATGTCTTCTAAGACTTTGATATCAGCAGCTTTGTTTAATGGTCTCGTTAATAATGACTTAAATCAAAATAGAGATTCTAGTGGAGCAATCAAAATCTTTTCCTAAGATCTGGCCATGTGCCTGGCCAGGGGAGCGAAAGGAGCAGGGCTCACGTGGTGCTGCTAAGTGGTTCTGTAGGACCCCACATCCCAGGATGTCTAATCAGCTAATGAAAGTCTTCCTTTATTCCACAAAATGGGCATAAACAAACCCTTGGCAATTAGAATAATGTTCTTCGAGGCAGTGAGATGATAGTCATTATATAAATCCACAGCATCATTTGGTTAAATGTGCTTTGTGTTGAATGTAAAAATAACAGCCGGGAGGTGAAGGGTTGCTCACAGATGTCTCACAGCAGAATAGTCCCATCTATTTGTTCCCACGATAAACATGACTGCGCAGATAATGCGAGAGATATAAAACTGGAATTCTGTCCTTAATGATGTTTTTAATGAGTAAAGACTGCTGGGCTTATTGTCCTCTGCTAGAAAGCCATTTTAAAGGGACTCCACTTTATTTTTATCTAAACATCCCCATTTCATGAAACAAAATGAAATGTGCCCAGACTATTGACTCTTCAGCTGATTTTGAATCTTCATCTTTACCCAACGGACAGGCTACTCTGTTCTGCACAACGACACGCAGTGATCCCCATGGCTTTGGTTCACCCGCAGTGACGACCACCAAAGGACAATTCAGGTCCTTCAGTCATGTAAAAGCCCCAGGAGTCTCTGTAGGAGAGGGGTGATGCAGGACACAGCCCCGTGACTCCACCGGGAAGCACCGTTTGATGCCTGACCTGGGCTGGTGTCTGTGTCCGGGCTGCTCCTCCTGGAGATACCCGCCAGCGAAGCTCATTTCTCTCCTGCGCCCATGAGTCATCTCAGCTTTGACTCTGATTCCCTTTGGGATCTGGTTCAAAGGTAGACATATTCTCCCAGATCATTCCTTGGAATCTTTGCTGATGTGTCTATGGCAACTATCAGTCCTCCAAGACTTTCCTTACTAAAAAAACCCAACATTTAAGTGGCGACTGGGAAATGGAAGCTTTTTAAATCTGACATGCTGTGCATAGCACTGCCAGCAGTGTTCGTAGCAAAGCGACCAGTTCACCCAGTAGGAACTGGGTGTCTACACTACAGTGTCTTCCTGTAGTTTGGATGCAAACCCACCTGTTTTAAGGCCAATTGCTGAGCTCTGCTCATCTCCATATAGGGAGAGAGTGATTCCCACTGATCACACCAGCCACCCATCTCTGCCTCTTCCCGCAGTTCACCAGCAGCAGCAGCTCCCCTGTGCAGATCTATTGCAGCACAAAACCCAAACCGTGGCCTCCACAACCTGCTTCAGATCTAGCGTGTGATCCTCTGCCACTGCTGCTCCTCTCCCACATGGCAGGCCACTTCCCCATGTTACACAGCTTGTAACTGGGCCCTTCTTTCCACTGAAGAAAGAAAATTCCACACTGAAGGTCTCCGCGTTGACTTCTGTATTTTCTTTCTAGAAGTTCCCCAAAAAGCTTTCTGTGAGGTAATTTATTGACTATTTATTTGCCCCTAGTTAGCTACAGAGAATGATCGTTACAGTGGTTGACTGCATCCTGCTAAAATCAGTATGTTCAAATCTTACTTATTAAAAATAAGCTATGTTTATAATGTAAGTGATGATGGTTCCTTAAGTACAGCAATAACTATTTTAATGCAGTGAAGCTTCTTAGCATTGCAGTAGCAATACAGAAGATAATCATGATTAATATTGTTTACACAAGGTTACTGCAAGGTCAAAGACATTTTCCGTGGTCTCCATCGAGTTTCAGGTGTAATGGAATGGCAATAATGCTGAAAAACCCCTTTGTGCTGCAAAACACAAGGTCTGGCAGTTTCTTTCTCTCTTTTTGGAGCAGCCCTCAGCCTGCCAGTTACATGTGACACATCTAGTGAGACCACTGAACCTTCTCAAAGGCACCACACTGGCAGTAACACTTCATGCTGTATGTAAAGAGCTATGTAAGACACAAAAAGCAGAACATCTGAGCACAGGATTCGAGAGAGAAAAAATACAATATTAACCAGGTTTGAAAGCATAAGGCCCTCTCATTATAGAAGTGTGTAGTTCCACTAATTACTTTGGGGACTGACGATGTCTGGCACGTCAGAGGCTTGGTTATGAGCAGCTCTCTCCCTCTGTCCTGCACAGGGAAAAGGAAATCAAGTAGAAACCAGAACAGGCATTTCTCTATGTTTGAGAGAAAACAGAGACCTTGGACAGGTTTTCCTCCCGGTTTCTCAGTTGTATAGTTTTGTCAGTTAAGAGGTTTGCCAAATGAAGAAAAAGCTTCTCTAGTGGTATCACAATATCATGATGCTGATTTTACCCTCCTTTCCCAGCAAGAGAAATATGGCAAATTGTATAATTCTCCTGGTAGATGAAATGCCTCCGAGTTCCTTCAGTGCAGTTATAAAAGAACGGTTCGTATACCGTGGAGAGACAAAAGCAGTAGGAATGAGGATGACTAGAATAACTTTGATTTTCCTCTGAGAACAAAACTGCTGCTGCATTGATTTGGCCACAGTGAGTGTTTCCTAATATGGGCCTTGAAAACTGCAGTGCATGTTAATTCCTGTTACCCTTTTTATTTTATACGTAAATGTGTGTGAAGAGCTTATGTTTAAAAATAGGGGTGGGGATAATACTGAGGGGGTTTGCTATGGGAGAAACTTCCGAATAGGACTAGGCAACTCTAAGCATCCTGCAAAAAATGGCACAAATTTCTTTGAACATGTCTCTCAGCTGCAAGAACAGCTTGCAGTAGGTCTTAACCAACCAAGAAATTAATTAATGAAAAATCAAGTCTCAATTTTTTTACTCCATTTAGATTTTTACCCTAAATAGAAATACTGGAATGATAATCAGGTTCTGTTTCGCTCAGTTTTAAATCCACTGCTGTTCCTGTCCACGGATGCACTATTATCTTAGCAAATGGGAGCATCCAATGTGACCTGAACTATATTTGTACTTCTGTTTGCTTTCACATATCTCTTCTCTGAACTGAACAGCTCTGATATTATCACCTTCCTTCTTATTTCCCATTCCCTCTGTCTATTCCTAACAGTTTCCTCCATTTCTGTCCCTGTTAGAACACCATGGAAGTGTGAGCTGCACCTTAAACCAGACCTGCACAGTCAGCACATTTCCCTGTGTTAGTTAAAAGCATTGTAATCTCCATGTTCCATTCTATTTCTGTCTCTACAAAAACTAACATTTCATTTATTTCTGCAGTGCCACTCCGCAATGAGAAGATGATTTCAGTATTCAGAGCATAATGACTTCCATAACCTTTTTTTTTTTTTTCAGATGTTATTTTTGCACTCAAAACATTTGGATAGCTTAAATTATTTCTCCTTGTGTGCATTTATTTTCTGGTATTTCTAAACACTAACATTTTTTCCTTAATAAAGGAAAGACTGATAGGTCATTTTAAATCTCCTTCAAATCAATCTAGCAAATTTGGAATAGCTAAGAAATGACAGGTCATCTACAGACCAGGGTCTAGGGGTGGGAGTTGTGTTTTAAGGGATCCTGGACAGACGTACGTGTTTCCTTGGCCTAAATGCCTATGTGCCAGGGTATTGCATTCCATGTGCTGAGGAGTTTCTGAGTTAATGTTCAGCATAAAAAAAAAAAGGTTCGATTATATAATGTGATGTACTGGGTTAAACCACTAAATGCTTTGAAGTCAGAGAATGAGAAAGCCACAGTTTAGATTATCAAGAAAGTTATTAAATATTGATGCCTTGAGAAAATGGCACACGTCTTCAATTCTTTCACACTGCAGTCTAAAAAAATCACAAGTTTACTTCTTCAGGGAGCTGCATGCAGGTAGCAGAACCAGTCCTACAGGGAGAAGCTGAGTCAATGATGAAAGTAGCCCTATCTGATCATGGTATTTTTACATATTTCTCAGAGTGGCAGGTGGGTAGATCTGGAGTGTTTATGAACCAGAGTTACCAATTCATATCAGTGTATTCCCCAGCTGGTTCTGCAAACTTCTGTGGAAACATTTCTTCTTCCTGAGGCTGAGAGGGAAAGTAGGATGTGAGGTTATCTGCAGTGTGATGCTTGTACCCCCTTGCTGTCTGATTGCAATGCTATATCATATTTGCCTCAATGCTGTAACAACAAAATCCCATGATTTTAGGCAGGAATTTGAGATGTAGCTATTTACACATGGGCAACCCACAATGAATTAAATACAAATTAACTCAGAGTGAACTGCAGTCTGTTACCCCAGTGAGCATGCAGAGTAACTCTGGCTCGGCAGCCCGTGCAGCAATG